ACGTTATCACCATCGAAATGAGGTATTAATTCTAAAAGTTCTCTTCTAGAATAATTTGCATTTTCCTCTAATTCAAATGAGGTTTCCGAAATATTAGGATTCGACATTTTATAAATGTTTATAGAGAATGATACTTAAAAAAGGAAACTACTTTTTAGAGAAAAATTGGTACAAAAGGGGTAAAAGGAAGTGGCAAATAACTTAGACCACCTACCTTGAATATGCTGCTACGGCGAAGATCACCAGGTAGCCAAATCTCATTTGTCCTCTGCGGAAGAAAGTGTAGGCGAGACCAATCGTCTTCTTTTTCGAAACGTCCGGGTGTCCGTAAGAGGCGAAAGGCTTCTTGGGAAACACACTTAAAAATTCGTCAGTCCACAAAAAGTCACGAAACACAGAATGTTATTTAAACTGTCCGTATTCGACTGTCCACAATTGGGCCACGAAACACGGGATGTATTTAAATTGTCTGTTTTCGCACTTTTTCTTTCAACTTACGAATTAAACGGACCCGAATATCCTACTGACTGCGCCAAATGTTATATTCCAAAATTGGAACAAAGACTTTTTAAAAAAAGTTTATTAATACAAAGTACAAACTATACTAGGTCTAGTCTTAAGCTAGAATAACTACTCTATTTTATGAACGGCTTTTATAAACTATATGCTGTAAATGCAATGTCAGCAAAAGATGTCTTTATGAATCACACTATATCTTGCCTTAACATTAGTAGGTGGGGGGAGACAGTTGTTTATTTTAATAGAATGGAACTTATATAAAAATATTTTTCATTAGAATGTATATTGTAACAATAATCTATTCTCATTATGCGCAAACATAGAATCGTAAGAAGATGATCTTAGTTTTGCGTTTGCTCATCGTTAAGTGTAGACATCCTTTTTAAATTAAAAACATTAGAAAATAATAATTTGTATCGAAACAATTCTTATAGTTCACCGAATGGCATATTTACATATGGGCTGTAGCCCAGGGCGGCAGAATTGTAGGGGCGGCAAAAATTTTTTCAATGTAAAAAATAGCTGTAAGTACAGACTGTGTCTGAAAGCGCTTTAAAAAGAATTACATTTTCATCTAAACGAATCGAACTGAGTTACCATAAAGTAAAAGGCGTGGTTGCGAAGTTTAGCCGTTTAGTACATATAAATCCCATATTGGTTCAATTATACCATACAAAAATGATTTACCTGCAGATCCGACGAATTCATGAGTGTACATTTTCGGGGATTCCTACAGATTGCAAATGTGGCTCACAACACACTTCTCCATTTAAGTGAGTAAATTAACGGAAAATAGGTACATCGAAGATATACAGACTACCTTTTCAAATGGAATGTAATAAACAAGATATTAAGAGCAAATACAAACCTCAAATGTTTAAGTCATTTAGTGCAGATATTGTTTCTTTTGCTTTGTCATTTGGCATGTTATTCATTATCTTTCGGATGGGTTTCTTTCTTGATCGAGCATTGAAGTTTCCGTAGATGGTTGTATCAGTTAGACATGCAGAAGTAAGGAGAGTCAATTTATAATAATACCTACTCTATAATCGCTCATAGTTATGGAAATGCCTAAAATATTAAATTAATTTTGCTTTTTTTAACTGTTATAAGTACTACAAAAAGGAAGAGGAAGTCTAACAAATATTTACCTACTTTATTTTACGTTCGAGGTAAGCTTAATTGAAAATGTAAGCACCGCTTGATAGCGTTTTCACTACTAATCAAAAAGGTAGTTAACATGAACATAGTAAGTAAAATGATTCTTTGTTAACTTTTGATAATTGTTTAATTTTCAGATTATTTTAATTTATTTGTGGTTTAAATTTAGTTTATTTTTCTTGTATCGAATTTTTTTCTATTAGTTGTAAGTTTTTATATTTTTGTTATTTTGTATTATCCAAGCTGAAGGATTAACTTCCCTTCTGTAGCATGCATTATATATTTTTGTAAAATAAATAAATAAATAAGTATGCAGAATGTTCAATTGTCATGTAAATATTTTTCCTTTTTATAAGTTAAGCTAAAATAAAAGTAAAACAAAAATACTGGTATGCAAGGGAAGAAAAAGTAGGGAAAAAGTGAATTTAAAGATAGGAGAGGAAAAATTAGAAGAAGTGGCTGATTTTAGGTATCAAGGAAGTCAGATAAGTCAGGACGGAAGGAGTAGTAGGGATATAAAGCAGATAGCGTAGGGTCGGGTCGGCTTCAATAAAAAGAAGTCACTTCTATGCTCGCGAATGGTTAATTTAGAAATTCTAAAAAGGTTGTTAAAGGTGTATGTCTGGAGCGCGGCGTTGTGCGGGTGCGAAACGTGGACAGTAGGCGCGACGAAAAAGAAAAGGTTAGAAGCGTTTGAAATGTGGCATTACAGGCGAACGTTGAGGATACCGTGGATAGAGAAGGTTAGAAATGAAGAGGTATTTGAAACAATAGGAGAACAGAGGACTCTATGGAAGTCAATAAGAAATAGGCGAGATAGGTTAGGATACCTTCTCAGCCATGAAGGTCTAGTGAGAGACATATTAGAGGCAGAACTGGGAGTTAGGAGGGGTAGAGGTAGACACTTAGATTAGATTACTGTTCGCAAGTAGTTAAGGATGTGGGTTGTTCTTGTTTTTGGGAAAATGCGAAAATTAGCTCAGGATAGGTACGTGTTCAACCAGTCTTAGGGCTGACGACCTTATGATGATGATGATGATGATGATGATGATCATAAATTAAGCTTGTATTATTTTTAATTAGAGTTTTTGCGCACTTTCATTGATTTATTTTACAAAAAAATTTTGTTATAGCTTTGACTATATTCACTATATTCTTTTGTTTCTTCTTTGACACTTCTAATGCCGACTGACGTAAGGTTTTTTTATATCACTGTTTTCATAAAATTATAGGCCGATTTAGTATAAATCAACATCCGTATATTACTTGGCACCGACTTCAAAAATGTAATGACTAGGTAAAGTATATATGAACCTAATAACTTACAATTTGTTTATATTAATTGTAAGTATGTAGTTGTTTGGTTTTCGGTGTCGACTTAATTATTTTTAACTTTTTGGTGGGCAGGCTTTTATATTGTAGTTTTATCATGTTCAAATTGTATACATTGCAGACTAAACAAAAATGAAAATCGACGGAATTTTGGTTTAGTTTTCGTTTTTATCATTTAATTCGCATCTGAGAATCGTCGCATGCGCTATCGTGCAATAACGTTTGCGATAGCATTTTCGCTTTTTCGAGTTTTTCGGATCAGACGCTCTTTTGTTAGTTAACCGTGGTGGTTGATGTTCCCAGCCTTCGCCGATTTTGCGTACGCAATAAAGAAAAGTTTTCACTTAACAATTAATTATCGAGTAGCTGTCGAAAAGTTTTTCATTAATTTTGCCGGTGATAATGAAATTGTGGCAACATCTGGGGGAAACAAGAAAGGGATAATGGAAAGAAACATTTTGGTAAGTTGAATGGCGTTTTTTAAATTTCATTATGTTGGTTAGGTGCTAGGGGAATAATCGCTTTTCTTCCTGAACTTCAAATTGTGATGATAATCAAAATGTAATTAAAGTTACTAAGACCACTTTTGTAATTTATAAAATTGGTTTAGCATAAGCACGTCTTCAGTTTATTTATATATACTGGACATTTTCAATGTTTGAAGTTTTGGAGTGAGTACATGATAGTTCTTTTAGAAACACAATAATTGAATATTACATAGTTATTCTGTGATGATTAGAACGATATAGCAAAGATTAATGTAAATTCGTCCAATTTATTTAAAAAGAAATGCAATCAAAACTCTCTATCTCTATCTTGGATCTATGATTCTTAAAGCTTCTCTAATCCCCTGTTTCATATATTTTCTGGTGTAGTTGGAGATAGAGATGGGGATGGATCCTCATAAAAAGGAATTGGGTGGATCGTGCAGGCCACCGCTGAAACTTTTGTGGGGATATGTTATAGGAATTGTTTATAACACATCATTAAGATCCATAAAAGTTGGCTAATGTTGCTGGACTTAGAAAAGAGAATATGTTTATGTTTAGAATCAGATGGTCTTCATTTTGAAAAAAGGCAATATAATTTGTTGTATTTCCATCACTCCTACGTTTTTCTTCTTTAAACTATCCCATAAATCTTAAGTGTTGTTAATCAAAGTCTGTCATGTAATTCTGACCTGTCAAAAAGTTACAGCCGACTTGATAAATATTAAATTTGTTAAAACCGTTTTGCGTTTGGGATTTTCTGTTGAAATCGCTAACAGTATGAAAATAATAATAAAAGGAATAAAAATATAATATGGTATTCGATAGAGGACCGAGCGGCATTGCCTAGAGGTTTAGAATATTGTTTAATATTCGGGAAGACGTCTGTTCGATTCTGGGTCCGTTTGTCTTGGTCCATGCTTTTCTGTGGTTTCCTTGGATCACTTAGGCAAATGCTGCGACTGTAATATTTCACAGATAATCTTTTATTCTCTCCTGTCTACCACCACCCACCCATTCCCACGATTCCTGAAAGGAGACTGAAGAGTCTGAAGGTATTGCCCGCCCGGCAGTATTAGTGGCTGGTGGGAATGAAACATCTAAAAATTTAAGGTTTTTTCGATAGAGGATTAATTAAATTTTACAACTGCTGTTGACATAAAATACAGGATGTTCTATTTGAATTGCTTATACAGTTGATTAGAAAAAAACTTAAAACTTTTGGGTGTTTCATTGCCACCAGCCAGTAATGCTGGTGGGCGGGCAGTCCCTCCGGACTATGCCGGAAGGTAGGGAGGAAGGCCCTCTTCAGCCTGCTTTCAGGAATTGTGGGAATGGGTGGGTGGTGGTTCGGGTGAGAAAGATGGGACGGACGAAATGAAGACAGAAGAGAATGAAAGATTATCTGTGAAATATTACTGCCTCAGCATTTGCCTAAGTGATCCAAGGAAACCACAGAAAAACTTGGACGAAGGTAGACGGACCCGGAATCGAACCGGTGTCCTCCCGAATGCTAAGCAATGGTCTAGACCTCTAGGCCATGCCGCTCGGTAGTTGATTAGAACGATATGACAATGATTATTGTATATTCGTCCGATTGATTTAAAAAGGAGTGCAGTGAAAACTGTTTATCACCTAGACATGTTTTGATCTTGGTTGATGGGTTACCATATTATCTGTGTACTGACCAACTCTGTGTAACAAACGGTTATTCTCATGGTTGAGTGTGGACAGAAGAATTGATTCATTAATACATACCATAGAAAATAATCCACTATAGCGGGGGATTTTAGATTGTAATAAAAGGTAGCAGGCTAAAAGTTGTTTGGACGTGTAAACCAAGCAGCAATAGTTATTGTCCAAAAAAATAAAAAAAGAATAAAAACCACCTTAAAAGCCACTTTTTTGTAATGATTAAAAAAAGGCAAAAAATTTTACTAACGCAATCTACAAAAACGGCTTGAATCACTTTCGTTGTATAGACAATGAGATATGTTTGTGTTTAAAAATTATTATTCATGACAAAACAACTTGTAACTGTTTTGTATATGATATGAAGGTGTAATATGATTAGCTACACACAATGCTTGCAGGATAAACAGGAAGAAATAGGAAGAGTTGTTTTTGTTTTTAAGGGACAAATATTAGATGACAAACAAAACAGAACCGTGCGGATCATTATTCGGTCGCGGAAGTAGTCTATTTTGAGATTTTTGTAGTAATGAAGGGTTTGTTCACATGACCGCATTAGAAACTTGTAAAGCCTTAAGCTTTTCAATGAAAAGAAACTGAGTATTAGCCTACTTTTTCCTAATGAAACTTTCCGAAATTCATTTGATAAAGTTTAGAACAGATTTCGATTTAGTGGAGAGCTATAGAAAATAAATACCATGTTCAGAATGATACTACAGTTGAAACTTTCATTTGAAAAATATTAAGATACTGTATTTGTATTGTGATGATACTGTAGTCGTTTTCACATCAGCTTTGGCTTTTTAAAATTCGCTTTTTGTCGCCTGTCTGTCGATTATAAATCTTGCAAGTTAATTTTGAAGTTGAATACATGTGTGCGTGGTCTTCAACAAGTACTTTAATTACAAGGGTTGCAATTAAATGCACTTTAAAAGGGATAAATTAAGGGAGAATGATAAAACTTGAAGTTAAAATGAGGGCTTTAAAGCACTTCATTATAGCAACGAACGCATACATTTTACCTGTTCCATAGAAATTTATCAGGGTTGCTTAGGTTATATTAGTTTAAATTAGGTGAGGGTAGGTTGCATGTTAATTATTCTTTAAGATACTTTGAATTTTTATAGGGTTAATTCGATATATTGTTGAATTATTATTTTTTTTAATTAATTTTAACTCGCTACAGACAACATTCGAAAAAGGTTGTTAAAGGTGTATGTTTGGAGCACGGCGTTGTACGGGTGTGAAACATGGACAGTAGGAGCGGCGGAAAAGAAAAGGTTAGAAGCGTTCGAAATGTGGTGTTATAGGCGGATGATGAGGATATCGTGGGTAGAAAAGGTTAGAAATGAAGAGGTATTGGAAAGAATAGGAGAACAGAGGACTCTATGGAAGTCAATAAAAAATAGGCGAGATAGGTTGGTAGGACACCTTCTCAGGCATGAAGGTCTAGTCAGAGACATATTAGAGGCAGAAACAAAAGTTAGGAGGGGTAGAGGTAGACCTAGATTAGATTACTGTTCGCAAATAGTTAAGGATGTGGGCTGTTTTTAGGGAAATGCGAAGTTTAGCTCAGAATAGGAAAGAGTGGAGGTACGTGTCCAACCAGTCTTAGGACTGATGAACTTATGATGATGACAGACAACCCCAAATTAATGATAAAAAAAATTTGCTTCTGTTACTTGCCGGGAACTGAACCCGGTCCTCTGGTTTTAAGCACTAAATTAAGTGGTGCAATACCTATTCGTACGTAAAACCAGAGGCGCGGGTTCGATTCTCGGCGAGGGAGTAATAGCAACAATTTTTCCTTTTTAATTTGAGGTTATCTGTAGTGGGTAAAATTGTTAAAAAAAATTTAATTCACAAATACATTTAATTATTTTATTTTCGATTGATCCATTTTTTATGATTTCATAAGTTGTTCTATAGTTACGTATACGATAAAAAATGCAATAATTTAAACAACACCATTACGCATAGGTACTAGCTTCGTGTATCATTTTGTAAAGGAATTTGTGTGCCTGGGATAGCGCATGATCGGATATTCTGGAATAAGCTGATGATTAATAATAAAACTATATTTTAGTGTTTAAGGATTACTTTATTTCCTAGCGTTTATCATTAGCGTAAATTGAAAATATATAGATTTATTTACGAAGAGTGTTCAACATTCTCTACCGTGTACGTATTTATATTTGATTGAAATCGAAGAGTTTCAGTAGGTACATTAGTAAACAAGGGTGCGACACGTGAGATTCAATTTCCCAACATGAAATAAAAAATAAATATTTTTCAAAAAATCCTCTCTTCAACTAAACAAAAAGACATCATCATATTGCTGTTGTTATATGCGTAATACATACTTATGTAGGTACTTCTTCTCAAAAATAATGTTGAATGCTTTTGTGACCTTTAAATTACAAAATATGTATATTGAAAATTACCATTTTTGATTTTCGTATCTATTACAAAAATGTCCCGTGACCAGGAAGTTTGGAAGGCGAGCATTCAAAGGGATGAAGTGTGAAGTATCAAGGTTTTAATGACAAAACGGGTTATGCCGTTTAACCTCGTATCAAGTAAATGCCAGCACCTTGAAGCTGATGTCATTGTTTTTACCGAAATAAAAGTGGATATAATAGGGGAAGGACCAAAAGAGGGGGAGGAGTTCGCCATATAACGCAGGGGACTGGGTAATAAAATAAAAATATTAGCCTACAATATTTAAACCCAATAACTGTACAATATAGATGTTTTTAACTCAAACACATTAAACCACANATACCTAGTTTTTGTTTCCTTTTTCCTAATTCAGACTTTTAAGGAAACAATTGAAGAAAACGCCTGATCAAGGTTTGGAAAATTTAAAAAAATTTCTGCGTAAGTGAAATCTGCTTTAATCATCAGTTTATGAAATACTACGTATGCATATCCTTTTTGAAAAACTAAACTATAAGCTATTTTGAAATTTATCATACCTTTACTTCAAATATACAATATGCTAATATTAGAAAGCATGGTTTCTGAAAGGTAAATTTATAATAGTAATCCTAAGTCGTATTTGTATGCAAGCAGTAGAATTTTTTTTCTCTCTCCGCTACATTTTATTTTTATTCATGTATCTGTTTTCAAAAATTGCACGATTTTGATAAAATTAATATATGAATAATAAATTTCTTTAAATTTTGTATTTGATTTTGAAGTGAAATATTTTAAAAGAGCTCTAGTGAGTGTTGAATCGAACAGCGGTAACAAAATCTGTTACCTGTCGCGGCTTCACC